ATCAAATGACTTTGTGGATTCAGAGTATTTCATTTTTCAAGTGTGCAATTCAAGGCAAAGATTTGGAACAAAGAAAGGAATGTGGAAATCATTGGTTTGTTGATAGCACTGAAACCTTGAGCTGGTACTAAATTTTAAAGAGATGAACAAAGGATCAGGGATTAAGGAAAAGGAGGAAGGGCTCAGAACTTACCATTGGGTCTGGTGGTTGCCCCTGGCAACCTTAATGGAAACAGTTCTCCAGATGACTGGGGAGAGAAGTCTGATGAGAGTACATTTAGGAGAGGACAAGGACATAGGAATTAGATGCAGGTTATCAGTAAGCAGACTAGGGGTGTCACAGGAAAGTGGCTGTTGTTAACTTGGAAGAGAGCATCATGTCTGAATGATGGCAGAAGGTTCCAGTAGAGATCGCGTTTCGGGTGGAGCATCAAGAAATAAGAATAAGAGATACTTGTCCTTCAGTAGGTGAGAAGGGAAGGTAGATGGGCTTGGCTTTTAGCCAGAAGCCCAGATGGTTCCCAGTGGTAAGTGGCACAGAGATATGGGGGTGGGGGCATCATGTTGCTCTTAGGATTAGTCTTCACAGTGAGGAAGGAACATCAGGAAGAGGTGTTAAAAGTATATGGAGAGAGGGATAATATGGGCCAGGTTTCCTGTTTTGGCTAAGCCCCTAAATAAAACCTGTGCATAATCCTGAGTTGTCAAAGTGCATGAAAGGAGAGGAGAAGGAGAGCACCCAGGATTTCACTCTCTGCACCCATTTCCTGAGTAGACCTTCCAAATGAACGCTCTGTAAGACCTGAGTTTGTGTGACAGCCCTAGGTGATGTTCCAGGGGCATAAACACATATTCTGAGAAAGCCTGTCACTTTCCAAGCTCCTCTTATGTGATTTCATAGCCTGCATTGTCTTGTGTGACTGTTTACAGCTTCAGTGTCACTTTCCACAGACATTGTCCCAGTCACCCTAGGCCTAACGAGCACCCCTAGAGCTAAGCAAAGCTGGTGTCACCTGCATGTACAAGTGAGGTCGTCACTCCTAAGGACTGACTCCAGCAACCTTGAGAGTGTAGAACTCACTGACTATGAAACCGAGGTCATGTACATTGAAAGGAAGGAACAACACATCACTAGATGCTGAAGGGATGGGCTGGTGCTAAGTGAAACAGAATGGCCTCTGAAAGCATCATTGTCTAAGGCAGTTTCAGGAGGGTGTGTGGTCTGTGGGAAAGGCCTGAGCCTGGGCCCCTGCCCCTTCCCTCTGTATGCTTCCCGTGGTCAGCCTGTTTCGCAGGCTTTGCTGCCTAGCTATGAGACAGGTCAGATGGTCTCTCCAGCTCTTCTCTCCTTTAGAGACCTGTGAGTCTAAGGTAGCTTTAGTATGAAAATTGATTTCAGTTTGCTTATGTAACATTTGTTTATTTCATGTTTAATCATTTATATCATAGGTTGAATCATTTTTGTCATAATTTCATTTTGAATTATAACAGAAAAACTTATAGATTATGTTGATTTAATGAGCCATAATCATAGTCTTTAAGATGCAGAGAATGAGAGTTTTTGTTAAGTAATTTAAAAACCAAACCTTATTTAAATACTATTCCAAAATGTTTTTGCTGATCCTGTGGGGTGACCTAGTTACTTACTTGTCCACAAATATAAATATAATTTTACTTTGCATGATGGTACTGTATATGTTATGACTATGAAGCATTTCAGTTGTATTTTCCTCAAGAGAATCCTTAGATATTGATCAGTGGAATAAAGTTATTGAACAGCTAGGAACACCGTCTGCAGAGTTCATGAAGAAACTTCAGCCAACCGTGAGGAATTATGTGGAAAATAGACCAAAGTACCCTGGAATCAAATTTGAAGAGCTCTTTCCAGATTGGATATTTCCATCAGAATCTGAGCGAGACAAAATAAAAAGTAAGGTATTCTTTTATTCTATAATTGTTTCTCTAATGTTTGAGCTCTAAAACCCATGTATGTTAAGAACCCTGAAATAGCATCTCTTATGGTCTGACATTTGAATGCACCACAGAGTGAAAACTTAAAGACCAAGAGTCTTTCCTTTGCTAAAACAAAGTAAAAAAAAAAAAAAAAAAAAAAAAAAGACAAAGGCCAAAATTAAAATGTCCAGACCAATCTGGACAACCCTTAGGTTATGGGTTAGAAGATGCCTGCAAGTATGAGGACTTGGATTGTGTCCCTAACATCACACAGAAAGCCCACACATAGCTGCATATGCCTAGCAGGTCAGTGAGAGATCCTGTCCTAAAGGAATAAAGGGGAGAGCAATAGAGGAAGACACCTGACTCCCTCTTCTAGCCTCAGAATCCATGGAAACCCCCCAAACACACACACACACACACACACACACACACACACACACGACTCATTGTGATGTCAGCAATCCAAATTCAAAATGTTTTCAAATGCAAAGAACTTCAGTTCAGTAAGTTCACTTCAGTAAGGATTCTAGACAGAAACTATTGAGTGTGGCCCAGTGAGAATGGCCCTTCCTGCCCTTCCATGCTCTTCCTAGACTGTGATCACCTGAGAAAAAACAATGGCTTTGTCTCCTCTACCTCAGGGTGAGCAGCACCTGGGTCAGGAAACCCTAGCCTTTCCTTGGTTGTATATTGTGAGCTTTTCATTGAGACCTCATTGAGCCTTCTGCTTAATTAAGTTGAGCTTGTTGGTTTTTTTTTTTTCCTAACTTCTAGCCCCTAGATTGAAAACAAAAAGTGTATACTGTCAGCATTGTATATGGCTAGGCAAAGCAGAGAAACCTCTGGGCTGTGGGTACTGGGAACATTTTTACATTGTTCTACTGTGACAGAAAAATACTCCTGGTGCTTCACGTCCATGCTCCTGGCAACACCACCCTAAAGAGGTGCTTGCTGTCTTGTCTCCTGTGCCGCTTAGCATTAGGTCATCTGGACACTGGTCTGAGGCTGCCACCTCTGCTGCTTCCATCTCCCATGCTAAAAGCCTGGTCTGTGACGGTGGCCATTGGACTTTTAAAGGTTGAAAGCTGTGATCTTGAACCCCTTAAACATTTCTTGAAGTCGGTATATTCACATTTGGATCTTTATTGTGTTGTTTCCTTTTTTCCGTGGTAGCAATGTAAATATGTCATTTGTTTGCACTCTAGCAAGTCAAGCCAGAGATCTGTTATCGAAAATGTTAGTGATTGATCCCGACAAGCGGATCTCCGTGGATGAAGCCTTGCGTCACCCATATATTACTGTTTGGTATGACCCTGCTGAAGCAGAAGCGGTAAGTGTTTGTTTGGAAAAGACGTCTGTATAGAGGGCTCA